TTCATCTCTCTGTATTTCTGGTTAGAAAGAGCCTTGATGGGGCTGGTGAAGATCACTCTCTGCTTCTCTCTGAGGGCCAGAGCTATAGCATATCTACAAGGCAGAGATAAACCAGGTTAATTCATATATCAGACAAACTTTTTCAAAGTTGAAGAGTTTCGAGTAAATCTGACAGAAATATTAGCTTGTTAATGAACTTTTGAGGATCACAGCTTCCTACGACAGGAATGTGGAGTCACGGTGACCTTGACCGTTGACCCTCAAGCACCAAAATGAATCACTTGATCTTTGAGGCCAAGTGAACTTTTGTGCAACTTTTTCCCTTTAGCTTATGCGGCCACCGTGACCTTAACTTTGGCCTTTGACTACAAAATTTTAATTCAAGTGAACATTTCTGCCAATTGTTGAAAGAAATCCCCACAAGGCGTTCCAGAGAACTGTGAGAAAATCTGTGATTTGTGAGATCACAGTGACCTCGACCTTTGGCCACCAAATTCTTTTCAGGTCATCCTTTAGTCCAAGTGAATGTTTTTGCCAGAACTACTGATATTCCCTTTGGGCATATCTGATATATTGCATTCAAAGGAACGCATGGTCACATGACAACCAGAAAACCACTATCACACATTCTTTAAATGTGACTTTATTTCTCATGCAGATCAGTGTCTTTGATATTCATACATATTTATGACATCAAAAGAGTATGAAATGTCATGAACAGCTTCACTATCTACTGAATTGTATTGGGTTATGTTTGAAAACATACTACAGCATGATTTTAAAAAGGTATTGTAGACTGTTAGTGTTATTTCAAGTGTTTAAATAAATTTCTTTCTTATGTATTAATACTTTAAAACATTGACAAAACCTTTCTTCTAATCGATGTGATAAATATTGTAATTGTGTTGATTTGTTCAGCTCTACACGGTATCTATTGTACTTCTGTCCATCCTGGGAGAGGAATCCCTCACTTCTTGACCCTAGAATGGGCCCTTTATATTTAGATACTTTATATTTACATAGGGAGCATGTCCTCTCTACTGAGGCCACCGTGTTTTTTGAAGTAGTCCAAACTGGACAATCAGATTTAGTGATTGACTTTTAACAGAAATGTGTTCATAAAACATTCTTTACTTTGTCAAAAAATATAAACTGCAACAAAAGATGAGATCCCCTGTGTTTAGTCGGCTCATGTTACACATGGAAACAAGTCATTCCACAAACTTGTCCAATGATTCCTGGATTGTGGTTTTGTCCAAAACCAAATCCACTTCTTTTGTAAAACGATGCAGAAGGTCAAAGTTGTTAAAACCCACATGCAGCAGACCAGTCCTTAAAATGTGGATTGCATTTCTCATCTCAGCCAGGGATGGCACAGGGGTCTCATCTTCATCCTCCTCTGATTCCTTGCTGCTGACAGCATCGGTATCCACACCAAAGTGCTCGCTCTCCTCCGTGACGTTGTCCTCATCCGTAAAAGGCTCTAACAAAGAGACGCTGTCATCCGTTGCAATCCACTGTTCAAACTCTGCGGTGCTCATCTCAGCAGGTGGATCAATAGCTGTCAGTTCCTCCACTGGGGAAATGACAAGACCTCCTTTCCTCCAGCAATTTCTTATTGTGGAGGCTTCCACATCAGCCCAAGCATCCCTTAGCATGAGAACAGCATCCAGGAGGCTGATTCTTTTGGCGATGTCTACAGCAGTAACTCTGCTCCCCTCATCAGTTTGGCGCAGCACACTGCGGGCCATCTCTTTTCTAAAGTAAGCTTTAGCTGTTCTGATGATCCCCTGGTCACAGGGCTGGAGAATGGAGGTTGCGTTCTTTGGAAGGAACTCAAGTCGGATGTTTCTCAGTGTTGTGTTTTTAACATCATGGGCTGTACAGTTGTCCACAAGCAGGAGAATCTTCTTCCTCTCATGGCCCAATTTGCGATCCCACTCTATCAACCACTCTTCAAAGAGAGCCCAAGTCATCCAGGTTGATGCATTTGCTGCATATGGGACAGGCAGTGTGTGCACATTTTTGAAGCACCTGGGGTTATGACTCTTGCCAATGACAAAAAGTTCCTTTTTTTCCCCGGCAGCAGACCAGGCGAACAGAGCGGTGATCCTTTCCTTAGATTTCTTCCCTCCTCCTCTTTTATTGTCACATGTTAAGGTCCGGGTGCTGTCAGGTAGTGTTCGAAAGTAAATTTTGGTCTCATTAGCATTCCAGATGCTATGCTCTGGGTATTCTTGTCTCAACTGTGCCCACTGCTCCTCCAGCCATTGGTCATGTGACACAATGTCAGCCTCAGCAGCCTCCCCATGCAAGAAGATGTTCTCCCTCCTTTTAAACCGCTGAAACCAGCCGATGGAAACTTTGAAATTGTTCTCTCCTAATTTTGCTGCCAATTCTCCAGCCTTCTCCATCACCAAAGCCCCACTCAAGGGGGTATTACATGATCGGGCATTATCGATCCACTTAACGAGGGCGGCTTCTACCAAAGGTGCTTTCCCAGTGCGGAGTCGTTTTCTCTCTCCCTTGCCAGCAGCGATGATTGTTTCTCTGTGTTTAAGTATTCTACACAAGGTGGCCTGAGGAACACCAAGCTTCTCTGCTGCATCTCGTTGGCTTGCTCTCGGCAGTTTGTCATACGCTTCAATGAGATCACATTTTTCACTGAAAGAAAATGACTTCCTTGTTCCTGTGTTTTCAATAGGTGGGAATCCCAGGCCTTGGGTCCTAGCAAGCAGCGGAAGCAGACCAAGTATAATTTTAAAAATAAAATGAAACTAAATACTTTTGTTTTTTTCTATTCGTTTTCATGTATGAAAAGACCCAAAATGAACACCATGAGCGGACTACTTTATTGCTATTAACGGATTATTTAAACAGCATTTGTATAGGACTGATCCCAAGCTTTTGGATCCATATCTCTATATCCGGTTTCCACTGTATTTTTAGGTTCGGCACCCTCACATATAAAAAGTAGTGTTGGAAGTTAATCATTACTGTAACATATTCATTTTCAGCACAATCAGGTGTCTCCTATATTCTTTAAATAGTTGATTGTTTAACTTATAGTTAATTGAGAATACTCACTCAGCACAGACAGTCTTGCCAGCGGAGGTGTGTGCAGACACAAGCACAGACTCATTGTTGTCAATACATAAGATGGCCTCGCGCTGGAACGGGTCAAGAATAAAAGGGTACTCCTGCAAGAACAACAAACAACAACATAAGGGATGAACAAATGAAAACAAAAAGACATTAACACAATTTGCATTTGGAACAAACTAAGGTAATCACACAGGTAGAATATTGACAAACCTTGGCTGCTTTCCCCACTCGACCTTTCAGTGGTTTATATTCATCACTGGCAGGCAGAGCCACCTGTTGAAGAAATATGTTCGGTAAATAAAGTTTTGCATAAGAGAAACAGTTCCTTTGGATCTTTTTCAGACCTCGTATCAACATCAATTCTGAGAGATTCAATCACTAGCGCCAAACGTGTCCTCAATACATCTAGAGATCCAAGACGACATTATTTTTGCTATGCGAACACAAATGCGGTTACAACGTAATTTGGTCTTTGCGAAACAGAAATGACGTACATGGTTATTTACAGGGGAGTGACAGTCACAGGAAACATTCTGGACGTATTTCAATGCCTGATGGGAACAGACCAACTTAGAGCTGACCACTTGTGATTGGATCTCTCGGGATGGATGTTAGGATCGGGTCTGAACAGAGCCTGGGATTTGCCTCCTTTACCTCATGTGAGCATCCTTCCACAGTTTCAACTTGCTCCACCTTCACTTGAGGCATAAACTCTGCAAGACTATAGAAAACAAAGCACAATGTTACCTACACAACTTTAAAGCACATTCTCCTCCACGAGCCTACTGTGATTAACTGTAACTCAACTCACTTCAGGTCATTAGCAGAGGCTGCCTCGTTTCGAGGTTTCTTCACGAATACCACCTCCTCTCCACCGTCACTGTCCGCCTCCCTCTTGACCGGGACAGCGGATCCAGCATCCTTGTCGGTGCCATTTTTACCTCCTGATTTCCTGTAGCAGAGAAAGATTCTGTTAACTAAATCTAAAAATACACAGGAATGATACACACCACTTCGAAATTCAATGTTTCATAGAAGCAGTGATGGAAAGTAAAATAATATTTCCTCAAGCACTGTACTCTCAAGTATTCTTCTACTACTTCATAATTATACTTCACAACATTTCAAAACAAATGCTGTACTTTATAATCCACTAACTTTATCTGCCGAGTTACTATTAAAATTACATTTTTACACATATTACAGACTGCCGAACATACAAATCACTGTAAAAATAATATTAAAAAGTCAACTATATACGTTTTGGTTGCGGTTCTATGTCACGTTTCAAGGAAATTAGGTAATTATTTGATAAAAACTCATAAAAGACGTTTTGAATTGGGGCTTATCAACACAAACCGGCACTTTATCTGCTATATGCTAGCCCAAGCTAGCGCTGCTAGCGGACTGTTTCACTGTCACGAGCGCACATGATGCTTCGTTTTACGTCTCGTGTACAATCGAAGCTCCGCGTTTTAAAACAAACGTAACACCGCAGACACCAAAAAGACTTTACCCTGGATCCAGAGCCACGGAGGCGGGAGGAGTTTTGCTGGAACTGGTTTGTTGTTCATCGTCAAACACGCTGAACAGGCCGTCTCCAAACGCGTCAGCCATGATTGTTGATGGCACGACTTCCCACAATTCAACACGAGGTTGTGCTGCGTTCAGGGAATGTCTTCAAATGCACCACTCAAAGAACTATTGATAAATTCATTGAAGCAGTTTGGCTTATTTTGTAGATTTGAAGGACCATTGTGTCTCTTAAAGGAAACTGTACTTCACACAACAAAGCACAAGTTTAATAATTTCATTTATTTGAAATTGTAGTTTTCAAAACAGTTTTCTCATTTTAGTGAATGCAACACACTACGTATTCTACGGCAGCCGCGTGGGTCAAATCTGTCATCAATACGCGGAGATGAATAGACGCTTCAGCTCCATGTTGGCTCTTTATTCATAATAAGAACGTCGTCTGTGAGCTTTTGATGATTTGACATCACTGCGCCACACACGGGCGGTGTTTCTGTGACTTAATGGGCGGAAAGAAGAAGAAATCGGCGGCTCCGGTGGCTCCGGTGGCGGCGGCAGCAGCAGCAGCGGGCAGGAGCGGTGCCGCTGCGGGGAACATCGTGGCAGAGGAGCCGAAGAAACAGGCAGCCAGCAACAAGCCAGCTAAAGCAGCCAAAGAAAACAAATCGAAAGGTGGTGATGCCTGAAAACTGCTCTTTGACTGTGTTTGGCTTCAGTGTAAAACAGCCAGACTCCTAAAGTGTGATGTGACTGTTGAGCTCACAGCTTCAGTCTGATAATCCAGATTTTCTGTATTTTATTAGGGTTAATGATGTTGTGCCACTTCCTTTGTCCAGTGACTTGATCGTACTTGTGTTTTCGCTGTGATCAGTCACTGTATTTACTGTCTGTTGTGCACATTCACTGCAATAGCGTTTGCACCCGGTCTCCTCTTGTTGTCCCTTCGTTTGTTATGGTTTATGTTAACCAAAGATCACAGGCTGCATCTTTTGTAAAATCCATTTTCCTTCTGTGAGTTTCTTGTTCACCAGATGACAAAACTATCATATTGTCAGACTGATAAACAAACATGAACAAACATGAAGTCTGGCTCAGAGATAACACGCCCTGCTCTGCTGTGTCCTTACTCCAGCTCCAAAGACCTACAGCCTTGCCAACACCGCCCAGGTCGACACAGGTGGAGTCTCAGACAAGTCCATTTTGAAGGTAAGCTGACCAATGTCACCTGCTGTAGATCACCTGTCAGTTTTAAACTCAGCTCTCAAGTTTTTCCTCACATTGAACATTTGAAAGGTGTAGTTAATGAATGGGATTTGACACGTTCACACAGGTTGCTATCCAGGCTGAGCTGGAGAAGAAGATCATCAGGCTGATCAATGACTTCAGACAGGAGAATGGAGACAAAGGGCCCATATCAGGCAGACTTACAAGCAAGAAACTGCTGGTAAAAACAAAACTGCAAAGATTTTATACTTATTTAGTCTTTAGACAGATTGTTATAGCTGTTTCTATCTCTTGCTGTGCTGTCAGGATCTGTACACAGCTTTGCAGAAGTTCAACTTTAAGCGAGAACACATTGAGGAGGCGATGAAGAGCAGCGTGCTCTACGGAGGGGATCTCCTCTCTGCTCTCGACTGGCTCTGCCTCAACCTTAAAGATGGTAATAGAGCATCAGCAGTTTTAGATATAATCGCTGTATTGTCAAGTCATTTATTCTGAAACGATTTTCTAAATTTTCTGTTCATTTTACCAGATGAGCTTCCAGAAGGTTTTAGCCAGCAGATGCAGGAAGAGAGCCAGAGGAGCAGACCTAGGTTCCAGCCTCCTGTTCAGCAGAAACCTGCCGCCTCGAGCCCCAAGGTTCCTGAGAACACCCGCAAAGAGCCCACCAAGGTTTGTGCACTTATTAGCAAGCATGTGCTGGCTGGACCGATGTGTCCTGTCCCGTTATATCATAGTTCATGAGTATGTTTTTGGCGGTGTTTGTGTGCCAGGCTACAGAAAAGGATGCAGCTGTAAGCATGAAGGACTGGATCTTGAGGTATGCAGAGCAGAGCAGCGAGGAAGAGGAGGACGAGGAGGAGGAAGGAGGGAAGAAGACTACGCGCAACCCTGAACTGGATGAAAAGTTTGACCCGGTAATAAAAATTGATTGAAAAGTTTAAATGATAATTCAACCTTTTGAGAGTTAAATGTGGTTTTAACATGATAACTAGTGAGTAGTGGCGCTGGTGGACAGATTCTTTCAGCATTGGACAGAGCCAGAGTATCTGTGTCCCTTCATTTCTACTTTTTATGCTAAACTAGCTGACAATAAATATCTTAAATATCTTAGATCTGAATGGTGGATGCTGGAGCTGGCATTTTTCATAATTGGAGATGCTCACCATGCTTTTATTTTTGAAGTTTTTATCATGTTGGTGAATGGATGCTCTGTAGTATGAGCCCTGTATGGAAAGTCACCACATTTCAGAGCTAATTAGTCTTTTTTCTGTGTTTTTATAAAGGTGAGAAGTTGAAATAGTTTACTGCATTAAATCTGTGGCATATTTTGGTTGCTGTGTAACGGTGTGTGTTATTTCTTTGCTGTGTAGAATGACCGGTATTTGATCCTCTCTGCTCAACTGTATGATGCTAAAGACATGGCAGCTGCTGCCAAGACCAAAGGAGACAAGGGGGGCCAGAGGATGGCACAGGACAGGATACGCATCATACAGCAAGGTGTGTGTGTGTGTGTCTGTCTGTCTGTGTTGATTACGAATCTTCTAACAAATATGTCTCTTACACAGAATAAATCTGTTTTGTATTCCTAGAAATGAAACCACTGGAGTCTCACCCCATGTTCAATCCAGCTATAAAAGTTGTGGACGTCCCTCAGAAGGAAAAGAAAGTACTTCCTGCCTGTGACGATAAAGAGGGCATCACCTTCAATTTATTTGAACAACCTGAAAAGGAGCAACCTGCCGAGAAAGGTACATCTGGCGAAAATACCATGTAAAATGTATTTATTGTTTAGCAAAAAGCATTCAAAGTGCTTTACAGGAAATTATAAATACTAAATATAGTGAACCATAGCATTAGGTTGTAATTGTATCATTTGATATACTTCATACTACCATGTAATAGATTCTGTATTAATAAAAGTCTCATCTACCACACCTGACGATAAGAAAACATGGCTTTGGTTCATATTTGTCCTCAAACACATGAGTTAAATTTTTATGTACGATTTATTTTATCAGACTTGATTCAATCCAGTGTCACATTGGCTTGATGGCTGCTCACATGGATTAAATTAATCATTCATTAAAATTAGTTTGTCGAAAATATATAAATATTTATGGCAAACTTACAAAGTGCCCCAGACTAAGAGAGATGTATTCAGTTATGTGTGTAGTGTAGGGAGAAGACTTTCAGGATGTCAACTCACAATTTAAGAAACAATCAGACAAAATCCCCGGCTCACAACAGAGGACATCATGCAAGACATGACAGATGTTGTATCTTATAATTACATTTTATTGTAGTATTCATAAGATGATTCCAGTCAGGCTGTTCTGAGCTTTCCAAGGTCAACATCTGGCTTCATTGACCTCTGACCTTGTTACTGATCATTCTGTTCCGATTTTCCGTTGCAGTCATAAAAAAGAACGAGCCGAAGGACATTCGTAATTTTGACTACACAGCTCGCAGCTGGACTGGAAAGTCTCCCAAACAGTTCCTCATCGACTGGGTCCGAAAAAACCTGCCAAAGAGCCCAGCACCGGCTTTTCACAAGGTCCCTGCTGGTCGATACTGGAGAAGCAAGTATGTATTGTAGCTCTGTAAGAGAGACAGTCATGTTGCACTGAATGACCACTTAATTTGATCCATTCACACAACAAAAAGATCATTTTGCTTCATCATCCTAAGATTGAGATTATTAAACCCTGCTTATAAGTGGATTTAGAAACATGTTGTATCGATGGGATGTTTTTTACATCCACCAGGGTGCGTATTCAGAGGCCAGATGATGTTCTGGAGGTTTGTCCCACCATCCTGACTGAGGACAGCATGCAGGCTCAACATTTAGCAGCCACACTGGCACTCTACACCCTGATCAAGGGGCAGGTACTTCATATCACCATACTGACATTTTTCTGTGCTAATTGAACTCACAATTTTGCTCATTGATTTTTCTTCCTCCCCCCTCTCGATCTTTGACTCTCAGTCCGTGCACCAGCTCCTTCCACCCACCTACAGAGACGTGTGGTTGGAGTGGCGGGACAGCGAGCAGCAGCAAAAGGAAGAGAGCCGCACGGCTGCCAACAAACCGAGAGACCAGTTCATCTCCCGGCTCCTGACGAGACTCAAACAGCAACAGAACGAGAGCCAAGAGAAGGGGTCTGGATCCCACGACCAGGTTGGGGACCCGGTTCGGCCTAGCCAGGGGGGAGATGAAGAGCCTGAAGAGTCATGGGAGAACCTGGCTGGTCTTGATATTAGGGAGGGAGGAGAGGAAATGGAGGACAAGAGTGAGAAAAGAGGAGGGAGGAGAGAAGCTGCCGGAGCACTTGAGGCGTCCAGGGAGCTCTTAATAAAGCTGAAGAAATCCTCGCTTGCCCACAAACTGCAGGTAAAAACACTTTAAAAACAAATAGCACCGTTTGTTTAAAATTAAAGGCAAACATTAAATGTGTATCTGATCTTTAAGGCTGAGCGAGAGCAGCTCCCCGTCTTCCAACACCGACACCGTGTCCTGGAGGTTCTGCAGCGCCACCGTGTGGTAGTGGTTGCTGGTGAGACGGGCAGCGGGAAGAGTACTCAGATCCCTCAGTTCCTGCTGGAGGAGCTGCTGACTGGGGGCAAAGAGGCACAGCCCTGCAACATCGTGGTGACTCAGCCCCGCCGGATATCTGCCATGAGCCTGGCCTGCAGAGTCAGCCAGGAGCTGGGATGTGAGGATGGACCGGGATCCAAGGTGAAAATACATTTTACAGCGACTTCGCGATGTGCCGCTAACTTAAATAATAAAACAGTAATGAAGATACACCGACACCTGCTGCAGTGATCGAGCTTCATGTTGAAATCACGTTTCAGTCGTCGCCGTGCGGATACCAGATCCGGATGGAGAACCAGTCCGGGGAGTGGACCCGCCTACTTTACTGCACAACTGGAGTTCTGCTCAGGAAACTCCAGCACGACAGACACCTCAGCTCCCTGACTCACATCATCGTAGATGAGGTACTGACACTTTATGATCAGACGCAGTATTTGCATATTACAATTTCATGAAAATCTCTGTGTCCTTTCCACCCTCAATTTAATTTTCACTTTGTTTAATTATTGGATCTGGTAGTTTTTTGATTAGAAGGTGCACAAAACATTCAGAGCTCTTTTATTCTCATTACCACACACAAGCCCTGACACGCCACACATGTTCAGTGTGGTGCCTGTGAAAAACTAGACAACGTGCTGGAATGACAGTTCTAATTTCAATTTCACCTCCGTCTTCTCAGGTCCACGAGCGCAGCGTGCAGTCAGACTTCCTGCTCACCATCCTAAAAGATGTTGTTATGAGAAGATCGGACCTGCAGCTGATCCTCATGAGCGCCACAGTCGACTGCAACAAGTTCTCCAACTACTTCAACCGCTGCCCAGTGATCAACATTCCCGGCAGGACTTTCCCAGTGGAGGTGAGGGTCGTGTTTCAATTTACACTCACAGAATCTAATTTAATCCCTTTGTCTGTTTTAGATGTTTTGGAAGGTTTGAGCACTGGATGTACTTTACTCATCCTCCTGTGTTCTGTGTGCAGGTGTTTCATTTAGAAGATATAGTGGAGCAGACAGGGTACGTCCTGGAAAAGGACTCAGAGTACTGCCAGAAAATTCTCGAGGACGAGGAAGAAGTCAGCATCTCTGTCTCACAGAAAGGTGGCAAGACGTTACAACACCAGGTAATGTCGGCTCTCTGCAGCAGTAAAGTGGGAGATGGTTTATTTATGATTCCTGCTGTCTGTCTTTTTCTTTTTAATCGGTTAACATCTTGTTTGTTGAATCAAAGATGCTGGTCAGTTGTTCCGAGCAAGTCTGAGCAAGTATCACAGCTTTCGCAACAAAATAAGCAACAATTACAGCAAAATTTATTTACAAGCAAAAAAGCTAATCTTCTTCATCAGTGAAGGACTCTGGGTGTCATGGGATTTGATCAGATTTGATTAATGGTGGTCTGACATCCACAAGTGTCATTGCTAATCTGGGATTGTGTCACATCATCTTTTCCTGTCAGAGCCCTGCCCACTGTAAACCAGTGTGTGGGCATGCAGGTGCTCAGGCAGTCTGCAGCATTGGGTTGCCACTTGGGTTAATCGGTGTGTTTCTCTGTGTTTAAGGAGGTGATAGTGAGAGACCCCGGCTCAGGCTGGGACCTGGGTCCTGAGCTCGACCACTTCAGCAGCAGGACCCGGCAGGTGCTGCAGTACATGAACCCTAACAAGATCAACATGGACCTGCTGGTTGACCTCGTGGATTATTTAGGTACATCCTTTTTTCAGATGGCACAAATTCATACATGTTTGTTCTTGAAGTGTGTGTTAAATCTGTGTGGTTTTCTTTTGTGTTTCCGTCAGACAAATCCCCACAATTTGCAGTTTTGGACGGAGCCGTTCTCGTGTTCCTCCCAGGTCTGGCTCATATCCAGCAGCTGTTCGATCTGCTCTCTTCAGACAAGAGGTTCAGGGACAAAAACAGGTGACACACACTCACACATACTAATCTAATGTGCCATAGTCCAGTATACACTTGTCCTGCAGCAACATTTGAAAACAAAGGAAATGGTAAAAATACGTCCATCTCACTATGAGTTTTGTCTCTTACTTAAAGGTATAGGATTGTTGCTCTTCACTCAACTCTTTCATCTAAGGACCAGGCTTCTGCCTTCACAGTGCCCCCTGCTGGAGTTAGGAAGGTACTACCAAATGTGTCACAATGTAATAAAGCATTGTAAAAAAAATACTGCAGGTTCTAGATGTGATTCTAGATGATATTCTATTTTCCCGTTTACATTTAAAAAATATATTTTATGAAAGAACCTATTCATAAATAATAAACATCCCTCCTATTTCTCTTTTTTAAGATTGTTTTGTCGACTAACATTGCTGAGACGGGTGTGACTATTCCTGATGTTGTGTTTGTCATCGACACTGGGAAGACCAAAGAAAATAAGTAAGAGCTCAGGAACAATAGAAAGAACAATAGAAAGTCAGAGGATTCATAACAATATGTCACCACAACCAACAGTTGTCAAGATAATAATTCCGTTGTGTCGCTCAGGTACCACGAGAGCAGCCAGATGAGTTCTCTGGTGGAAACTTTTGTTTCTAAAGCCAGCGCCTTCCAGAGGCAGGGGAGAGCAGGACGTGTCCGACACGGCTTCTGCTTTAGACTCTACCCAAAATTCAGGCATGGATCTTCTCACTCACTTCACAGAGACAATGAAGAACACAAATCATTGACATTAAATATAAAGGATGTGTCTAATCGTTTCCCGTTTCTTCTCAGGTTTGATGCCTTCATGGATTACTCTATACCAGAGATACTGCGGGTCCCACTGGAGGAGCTCTGCCTTCACATCATGGTATATAAACAATACTCACTTGCACATGAAAAACGTGGTTCACTTTGGGAAAGTGCTTGTTCACAGATGCACAGTTAAGGATTACGTCACCAATTGCGGTTACAACATTAGAAAAATAACGACATTTACCCTCTGCCTCATTTAGTTTTTTTGTTTCTTCAGTCCCCCTAATCTCTCCTCTCCCCCCTCTGGTAGAAATGTCAGTACGGCTCCCCGGAGGAATTCCTGAGCAGGGCCCTCGACGCTCCTCAGCCCCAGTCGGTCAGTAACGCCGTCAGCCTGCTGCGGAAGATCGGTGCGTGTCACCCCAGCGATCATCACCTCACCCCTCTGGGACACCACTTGGCGAGTCTGCCGGTCAACGTGAAGATCGGCAAGATGCTGATCTACGGAGCCATCCTCGGCTGCCTGGAGCCCATAGTGAGTCTCACGTCCTCATTATTATCAGAAAACAAACGTTCCACCTGTTATTATATAAACGAGGATTATATCTGTACGAGTATTGTTATTGTATAATGCCATGATTATATAGTTTAGAAATGGTCTGCTGTCATATCTTGCAATGAATATTAATGAAAGAATTGTTTCAGGCAACGATCGCAGCAGCCATCACTGAGAAGTCTCCCTTCTCCACACCAATGAATAGAAAGGAGGAAGCTAACCTGGCCAAAGCTGCACTGGCATTAGCCAACTCCGATCATCTGACGATATACAACGCATATCTGGGGTATGGGCTGTTCTGAAGACTGTATTTTACTCAAAGGGTATTTATGTATTATGGTGGTTAAATGGAGATGTAATCTAATAAACCATGCTTCTGGTAGCAGGAAAGAACAAATTTGAATGTTACTCAGGAGAACTTATACATTTATTACAAATAAAAACAATAGGTTAGGCTTGTGCAACATCAAACTTGTTGCTATTGTTTGCTGCAGCCGCCAGGAAGATAATGTACTTTACATTTAATGCGTCCATCCCTTCTCTGCCCCTCATCTAGCTCCAGATCCTGTTGATTGATTTATTATAGTACAAGAATTATTATCATATACAAATGGAAAATAATGATAGAATCATAATACACATGTCAATAATAGCATGGACTGTAGTTGTAGGCTTCATTGTCTCTTCTGGTTTGGCATCATGCTTTAACTGGTGTGACTGCAGTATGATGGTCAAACAGGTGTAGCATTTCATTATGTGCATTTTTAAAAGGTCATAAAAACACTGGGGGAAACCTGCTTATAACAATCTGTTGCCTTGGTGACAACCTCTCTGATGAGACTCTGTGTGCTGACCTGTTTTATTGTGTTCACCTGTCATTAGGTGGAAGAACATACGGACTGAGGGAGCGAGAGAAGAAATGTCCTATTGCAGGAAACACTTCCTGAATCGAACAGCTCTCATTACAATAGAGGTATCGCCTTCACATTCGTTTTCACGCACACTCTCATCTTCTCATCACTTTTTTTCTAACACAAAACGTGTTCTCTTCCTCCTCCCATCCTGTGTTTGACGTGCTCCACCCAGGATGTGAAGCACGACCTGATGAAGATGATGGAGCAGGTGGGTTTCTGTTCGTCTCGCTCCTCTTCTCAGTCCAAGTCCCAGGCGGTGGCGCTGTCCAAGCAACAGATCGCAGTCGTGAACGCAGCACTGACAGCGGGGGTCTACGACAGCGTGGCCCGGGTCTTGTGCACCCCGTCCGTGGATGTGCTGGAACGACTGGCCTGCACGGTGGAGACGCCTCAAGGCAGAGCCCAGGTCCACCCGTCATCTGTCAACCGCAACCTGCAGACACACGGCTGGCTGCTGTACCAGGAGAAGGTATGGATGAGCCGGTGTGATATCTGTTTATCTACCTCGTCTCACTTGTGCTAATCGCTGCTTATCCTCAGGTGAAATACACAAAGATCTACCTGCGAGACACCACGCTGATTTCCCCGTTTCCCATGCTGCTGTTCGGAGGTGACATCGATATTCAGCACAGAGAGAGGCTCATCACGCTGGACGGGTGGATACATTTTCAGGTCAGATGTCACCCAGGTGGTTCTGGGATTAGTTTACATTGGCATCAAAGTCTTTCCCTCTTCGCTTCCTCCTGTAGCAGCAGCACTTGTTTCCCTGTAAACTTGACTTAGTAGACACATTTTCCACTTTCAAGACCTTGTGATACTGCAACTTTTGTGTGATTAAAGAAAGCTGTGTTTTTCTTGTTTTGACTCAACCTGTCTGCTCTGACAAAGTCGTATCTATATTAAATTTGTGTTCCCTTTTTAAAAGGCTCCTGTACGGATTGGTGTGATCTTCAAACACCTGAGGAAGCTGATGGACTTTCTGCTTGAAAAGAAACTGGAGAATCCGAGAATGAATCTGGAAGGTAATCCCAACTATCAAAGTGGCTTTCTCTATATCAAGCAGCACAATGTCCACATGGTGGCACTGAAACACCATTAACAATACTGGTAAAATATTCATGTGATTTAGTTAATTCTGAAACAAATTAATATATAAGAGACATTGCTTGTCTTAGAATACTTAGGGGTTTTAATACACGGTATGTACCTTCCCAAGATTCACAATATTATATGGATGCAGTCTGCAGGTATAACAAAGGAAATATTTTTATCTGTTAAATCTTATCTGATCCACTCTGTCTCCATCCATTCCAGGCGAGAAGACCATCCAGGTGATTCTGGATCTGATCAAATCAGAGCATGCTATGTGATGTCAACCATTTCACAGACGGAACCTTCAAACCAGGATCTTTTCACACAGCATCAACAGGCTCTGCATCCAGGACTCCCCCTGACAAAATGCCTCCCAATTATAACTCTACTGTTCAGCATTAACACCCAGCACCCACTGGACAGATGTGAGTGTCCTAAGGATGAACTTTGAGTCGCCAGGAACTCTTACTCACATTGAGGAGTGTACAGTGTGAAATCATGAAATGTGAGCATAAAAATAGTCACAGAGTAATGTTGCCAAATGCAGTGGGAATAAAGCTGTTTTAATAGTCATTTGAACCGTTTATTGTGTCATGATTGACAGTCAAATTAAGCAATATAACTTTTAAATAGCACAAAGAGACAGAGCCTCACATTGTGCTCAGGTGAGAAGGTGTCCCGTACAATGGGGGCAGAATTAAGAGTCAGCTGCAGCTAGAATATGTGTAACTTACTAAGTATCATGCACCAGATGAAGTTTGATGAACTGTTGCCACATTCAATTATGAAAAAAACAGCTCAGCGTATTTAGATCCCTCTTTATTCCTCCAGTTTTAAATGTTCTCACAGTTTGTTACACACAACCATGAAATCACAAACAATCCTCCTCCAGTATCCAGAGAATATTGTGCGTCCTCATCACACGTATGCACAATAATTACTTAAATGTTACTGTAGATCATAGACCTTCTTACAATGGAACAGGGTCTATGTGAAAGATTTGAACTGGAACATGGTCTGTAGTATTTCATACTACGAGTATTCAGGTTCAACTCAGCTGACACTGCAAGCAAATGACACAGTATCTCATTTTGTGAATCTCTAAAATTTGAGGCAAAAAAAATTCACAGAAGAACAGATTAGATGCATCTTCACAGAGGACAGAGCCGGGTGACGATGAATGGGCTCTACATCTGAAGAGCAGGACGTTCTCATTGAGTTGATACAGAGATTTGTTCAACGTCACTGTTTTAAAGGTCCAGTGTGTAAGATTTAGGTGAAAGGGAACTATCGGTAGAAATTTAAAGTAGAATAATTCTCATGATGTTTTCAGAAAAGGCCCTTTATATTTAAATACTTTATATTTACATCGAGGGGACCCTCTCTCCGGAGGCCGCCATGTTTTTTACATTAGTCCAGACTGGACAAACTAATCACCTTTTTAACTTTTTATGACAATAAAAGGCTACCACATTTTCTTTTTCATGTTTGGGAGGGTGAGGTGAGGTGTGTTCAGCTGCAACATGAAATTTCAACACTAGATATCACAAAATTCTACACACTGTACCTTTAAGTTTCTTTATGAGCTCATTAGTTTCCGTTTCATTGCACAAAACATTTTAGCCAGTTTTGATTATAAAAACACACAAAAAATCCCTAAAATGAAACAAATTTACTGTTTATAACACAGCGAAATGCGTTTAAAATACCAGATAACCTCAAATCAGCCGTGTATTTGTACACAGTTATGACACTCGTTTCCACCTGGTAAGAAATTATCTTCACAGGAAAGCACAAAGGAGGAAGTAGAAAGACGTAGATAAACTTAATGTCACAATGTGACAAAGCTCCAGCTCTGCACAGGACACACAGTAACTGCTGCAGCGTATCTGTGGGTCAGTACTGGATAACACTGTAGCTTGCATCCTGCACTGTTGAGTAGATTATATCATCTGGAATCAAAGCACAGATCAGTCGCACTGCGCTTCATTATGAAAAGCAGAATCGTGCAGCAACAATTCAGTTCATGATAAAGTCTCACGCTTCTATCTCTCCACTGAAATGACCTTTCTGTGTATTCACACTGACACAGGAATGAAGATTTGTGAATTATTCTTTGGGAGATCTGGGAAAATGTCAACAAATACCTGACAAAAGTGATACAAATTCCTGGGTCTGCTACTTTTTTCACGGAAGCTGTGTTTTAGTCTTCGCTCATAAATGTATTTTCACATCAGTTACACCAATCGAAATGAGACTGATACAAAAGTTTCCAAATTTTTTAGCAACTATGTGGTGGATTCCATTGTCTTAGGATATATATTCTTTTCATAAAGATGAAAGCAATGCTACATGTACTGGTTTTAAATGTTAGTGGAAAGGAGGTTAACCTGGATGATTCTCTACTTGCATCTATAGAGAACAAAGTGGGAATGTCGTGACACCCTACCCCCACCCCCACCCCCACTGTGGTTTGCAGACATGCAGCATCATCATCTCACCCTTTTCCAACTAAACCTCCTCCGCTACTTTATCATAGCAAGCAACACAGAATATTCATTTAAAGAAATGAACAGAAACATACCTTCTCTGCTGTGTGTTGGATCAGGTAACGGCCCTCTCCTGCAAATTCCCAAAACAAGGAACACAATAAGAACAGAGGAATACTAACAGCCTCTTCTAGAGCCCTTCAGTTGTTTACCTGGTGATTGGTGGAGGCAGTCGAGAGGGTGGGGCTCCACTGGGAGACTTCTGACTGCTGTAGAAGTTCTCATACGAAACCGGAGCTGTTGGAGAGAACAACTGATACTGGTCACCCTCTCTATTTTTCATATGATCTGCAGAAGATGTCCAGACTTTGTCCAGAGAGGAACTCCTACACATGCAGCACACGACCAGAGATTGTCCGTGTGAGATGCATGTTCTCTTGTTGCAACCACTTGCTCGCTGTGAATCCTCAGGACAATTATTGGCTCTGTGCAATGCTTGTTACAACCAAATCGGACATGTGCATTCACACGTTTCATGTTTAGAAGAATTCAGGCTTGCAGTGCAGGTGTGAAAGCTGAGTTCATGTGTACTCTGGTGCATCATTAGCGACTATTCTCGCATTCGTACCTGGTGGTTTATCACCGGTCCGCCGGAGGTTTACAAAGTGTTCGATATCTTCCCAGACGTCACACTGCTCTAGCGATTTTCTCACTTCTTCATACAGCTGTTTGCACATAACACAAGAAGAAGGAGAGTGAAAACATGATCAGAGCTCAGTTAAAAAGTCGTCTACATTCTCATAACAACATTTTGTTTTCTTTTTAGGATCCCAGTTGCCTGTGTACATCCATCTGGCATTTAGTAACATTAGAATTCATTTACCATCATTTTTGTATCAGCCTGACAAATGGAAAACCAGTATTTACTTTTAGCTCCTTTTTTGGTCTCCACCAGCTCCTGAGGGAAACATGTGGCTCTTAAGCTTCTAAATGCTTCACCAGCCAGTTGCTAGAAGTGTCTGTTTGGTGCGAGGCAGGAAGTGGACAATGGATTTGTTATCTGTACTTTCTTCACGTAGAAATTAATATTTGATATCACCAAAAACAAGGAGCTAAAAGATGTTAAAATTAAATTTGTTAAAAATAAAAAAATGTATAACATTTCTCTCAGGATTAGTGACGATGAGCGACCTCTTTCACCTTATGCATACTGGATTGATCCACTGCTCAATGTACTTATTGATAATGGCAGCTTTACCTCGTCACTGGTCACACACAGCTGGGAGAGCTGGTTTAGATGAGTCCACACCGTGTTCCTCAGAAAGTTGATTCGCTCCATAGATTGTTTTTCAAACATCTGTCATGGAAAAGTTTCAGCTTCTATGATGCAGGTTATGTTTAACACTTGAATAAACTTGAATCTTCCACAGTCTTACCTCACAGGCCTTCACATGTTCCTTCAGCCATTCGTCCCTGACCTTCCCCATTGTGGTCACATTCTGCTGGTATAACCTGTCTGTCAATCAAACACACACATCAGTATTACTAGTATAAATATGATATAAATACCCAAACTGATTATTATTACTCTTATTAAATATCCAAATCAGACTGGTTTTGTGTGTTAGAATCTAAGAGAGACCCTCACTCATCACTATCAATGTATGGGCCTGAAGATGGCACTAAACAAAGAGGAGGAAAAACGTAAGGGATCACCAAAATAAGTAGGATTCATCCTTTAGGGAACATGAATGTCTGTGTCCTTACACTGATACCTCAACTAGTACGAGCGCTCGCTGCCAAAGGCGACTGAGGCCAAACTGTCGAGCAGTGAGCCAGTTTGGATAAAGTCCAGTCCACCCATCCCAAAATGCACCCTGCCCATTATGAAGCAGTTTTTTTTAAACTTACCTGCTTCCTCTGAGTTCTGCTTTGCTTGCTGCGCTTTTGAGTAGAGCTGAAGGATGAAGAACACGTGAGCACTAAGTCTTCATCAGTTCAAAGTCCAACACATCACAACCAACAAAAACAGAAAACACTGCTCATAGGCTCTCATCATGGACTGTATTATTAGATGGATGACATGACAGCTCACTAAAAATGAAGCCAAAGCATCTAAAAAGAAAAAGTCAACATTCATGTCTAATATATTTTTGTCAAAGATGGTTTGTGTTATTTCAGCAATTTGACCGTAAGTATTTCATGCTTCTTCAGAACATGTTTTAATACTGTACCTTCTCCATGTGCTTAGTGTTGTTAGTGTTGGTGTTTCGATTCACATTCTGATCAGCTTCTTCTTTATCTCGGCACTTCTGCTCATACGTCTTCTTTGACTGAGGACAACACCTCAGTTAGTGTGGGAATGTTTTAATGCATCATCATCATGAAATGTTAATTCTCTGCTGCTGCACAGCCTCTATCTTCCTGTCACAGATACATTTTATTCTCATTTGAATAGAGCCCCACATGTATTTCTTCTTTTGACTGTTTTTGTCATGGTGTCAAACGATGTCCTTTAGTTCACTTCCCAGACCGCTCGACTCCACTTCCTCCACCAAAGAGGAAGAACAGAGATGAGGGATAAGCCTGCGCCTCATTGTCACTGTGGTCTCACCACAACTGAAACTCGTCTGACACAGGCACAAATTTACTGGTGTCCAGTGTCACTGTTTTACAAAAGTCTTCTGGTTTTCTCTTGCATTACACAACCAAGCTTGGTTCTATTCAAATATAGATAACAGGATGATTTGACTTGGGTTTGGCATGTCAATCAATATGTGGTCTCCATGATTGATAAGCTGATCTTATCAACATCACAGATCAAAAAGTGCCCTTGTGCTAATTTATTTCACATTGAATTTATATTATTAAACTCTGTGTGACCTTTGCATTATTACTTACATCCATTGTCTTCTTGAACTGTGAAGACTTCTGTTTGTGCAAAGCATCGATCTGTTGTTCAGTCTGAAATCACAAGGTAGAATTTAGTCCCCAACTCATCAGGCACTTTATCACCATGTTGTAAACAGAAATGTTTTGCAGACTTTAAAGTTTAAAGGAATATTTGTTGTGGTTTAGTAACTGAATAAAGATCAAGTCACCAAATAATATTTATTTTGATTCACAAAATCTAGATCAGCACCAAAATCCATTTCACAAAAATGTTGAAAATCTCACAATGTTAATACAATCTGTACACGAAATTAAAAAAAAAGGTTTTGCATTATCCTAATATACAAAAGCAGACAAACCGCAATAAAAACATAACATCGTTAGAGGCGATAATAAACTCACCAACCTTTTTCCTCACTTCTTTTTGCTTTTCTCTGAATTCCTCCAGTTTCTTGGCCTCCTCCTTCATGCTCTGTGCCAGTTGTAGGTGTGATAGACTCACATGTTCAGTCTCTGCAGGGAAGACAAATTAACTAAAACAAACTCTATGAGTAAATAATAGTGGCTGAATTAAGGACTCAAAAATGTTAAGCACTTACGTAATTTGAACACATCCAGCGATCTTTTCAATGTGCTATGAGAGCAAAAGGAATATAAATTATCCAGGGATTTTATATGTAAAACAATCTCTGACCTTTTAATACTCACTAAACCATGCATGAAGAAAAATGTGTTTGTTACCCCCAGGACATTATCTGACACCTGGCTTTTGATTGACTACCGGTTTTTATTGAGGAAACACAGTAACTTCTGTCTTTTCTCTCATGTAGTTTATAAATATTTAAGTCTCCAAACTCATTTACAGAAACAATTTAGAAGTTTAATTCACACAAAAATCACAGAATGTGCAACAAAAAAACCCAACAGACAAAACACAGAAGACTAATAGATGACTATTGTTTGATCAACTAAATAAATACAAATGTAATAATATAATAAATTGTCTTTGGTTGTCCCACCCTCCCCCACAAGTCTTCATTTCACTTCCTATTTGAATTCTTTTTAACAGAAACAAAGCCACAAAGATCATGTGACCACTTAGAGAAAGGGAACTAGAGTGATAAAAAAAAAACGGCTGACCGGCTAAAAGATATATTCAGTGCAATCTGCAAACTGATGCAGTCTTTATTTCCACATTTTAACAGCAGTGAAATGTATTCTTCATGTGGTGACCAGACTCTAACTTTACTTTAATCTGTTCTATTGCATCGCTGCAAACAAATTTAAAGGGAGCAAGTCAGTTCTGCAGGCAAAGATTTCCTTGTCTCACTCTACAAAAGGCAGTAGGGTTCCAACCCATATTAACAGCATCTGAACATGGAGGATCCTTACTTCATCTCATTGTGTCCACAAACCTTCTTGGACAAACCAAGGAGATCTTTGGCGTATTTCTCTTCAATTGAAGCCCTGGAAAATGAATTCAGCAGTGAGTGTGGTGTGCAAGCAAATACAATACACACAGATCATATACAAACTTACAACTGATAAACTGCAAATGAATTTACATGAAAAACTGCACTGATATGTGATATGTAATATTTTACTACTAGTTTGCATACGGGCACACTGGTCATTCACCAGTGGATACTTTTAGAAAGAAACATTATAAATGTGTTTGTTAACTGATAAGTTAAAAGACAGGAGCTCAATGATGTTGACATGATGCTATGACTAGTGTGTGCTGCCATAAAACACACACACACACACACACACACACACACACACACACACAGTCCTAATGTAAGACTGAATGACAATGAGCTTTCATCATTTCTCAGAGAGATTTAAATGCAATTAAACAATTACACAAAAACAACCTGCTTCCTGGTAGAGGCATTATGGGAAAAGACAAACAGGAAATAACTGCTTTGACCGAGTTTACACTTAAAGACCCAAAATTCCTGCGTCTGCATGTTCAAAGCTCCTCAGGGACGTTTTATATCTATACAGTTTATACAGTTATACAGTTTGTGTATGAAGGAGAGAGGATAGAATAATGATACAAATGTCAAACTCCACTATGAGATCATATCTTAATGATGCTTCATAGTGTACTATTTGTTATGAAAGGCTCGGAGCAACAGCACTGTAGGTTAGAAACTCTTTTCATTCATATTGTCTACCATGGTGCAGTCGTGTATCTTCAATTTCTATTACAATTAAATTAAATTTTAAGTACAATGTTAGGCACAAATCATATTAGATTTTTACTTTACTGAGGTGCATGTAAAAATATAGCTTTTGAAGCTTTGGCAATCAATTTTCATGTGGAATCTAATAGAACAGAATTCACATTAGTGCTTCTTGTGGTTTTCAGGAGACTGCACCACTGAAACCTTTTAGAAAATATAAGCAAAAAAATGTTGACCACTCAAACGTTCCACAATGTGCTTTGTAATAAACTCGATTCAGATTCAACTTCTCTAATCAATCTGTTATTCCTGCTGTTAATGTCACCATGAAGTTTACAACCAGTCCTTCAATTAGACTCATTATGTTCACATCTGCAGCCTTGACTTCAAACTTGTGACCATCTGTACTGCGGCATAATTCAACGTATGACAACTATACAGCTCGTACCCTCACTACCACCTTTAATCAGTAGTTGAAGAATAAGCATCCACAGATTTTGACATCTTTTCATACAGAGATCGTTACCTGGCCTTCAGGAAGTCCTCCACCTCCTTGCACGTTCTCTTGCCATCATTGAGATACTGAATGATGACATCATATCCTCCAGTGCAGGTCAGGTCCGAGTTCTGTCAATAAGATAAAGACCAATAGTCTGTTCAACTTGTTATAAAAACAGATACTTGTTTAGATGAATACTCTATAACCACTTTACTTACGAACAGTGCATTACACACACATATAGTAAACAGACAGTTTGTGCAGATCCTTGCTACACAACTGCTTCGAACACTGTTTCCTGATTGAAACCCAGTTGTTAGACTGGCGGACTCAGCTTTGGTCTAACTTCACACGATGTACCACTACGCACACAGACAGACATAAACGCTTAGACATTAGGATCTTTCATAGTGAGTGTAAATTGATGTTTTGAACTGCACGTCTCCATAATTAAGGTATAAACTCCGACTAACAGCCTACAATCATCCAAACCATGTGAATTTCAAAATCTGTAGGTTATTGACTTTCTGTCTGGTTCTGGTTATTTACTTGAGTATCTTTATTTATGTTACTTATTAAGTGCAGCACTTAAGAAGATATTGTACTTTTTACTCTACTACATCCATCTTACAGCTAGTCACTTTGCAAATTATGTTTTTACATACAGGACATACTATGCAATGTTACAGATTGAGGTACCTTAACACATGTAAAAGATAAAGTTTGCTCCATTCTAACAAACTAAACCAGTAATATGCTACTTTCACATTAATTCATATACATATATAATGGCTGACATCTAATATGTAAAAGTAATGTTGCTTTTTTTCTTTACACACTTTAAATACAATTACATTTGTTCAACTGTAAATGCAGTTGTAAAAATGCAGTACTTTACTTGTGCCTGAGTATTCTTACAATTTGAAAAAGGTACTTCTACTTCAATAATGGATCTGAACACATTTTTCCTCCGTGAAATTTAATGATAAACTGAAAAGTTATCATTAAACATGATGATTAACAAATCAACTCAAAGCACAGGATTAAATATAACTCACCCAGAAGAAATCTTTGAAGTGCAGGTTTTTCATGGCGGATAAACGAAGCAGTCCTGTGGTTTCTGCAGCTCTGACTCAAAGCGACTTTCTTCTTCTTTGCCGCAGGTCAAACCCACGCATGCGCACTGATGGTGACCACAATCACTCCTGCACGTGCACCTTGTTTACAGCCATGTATGGAAGATTGAATGTGTTAATAGTCAATTTTTATTTATACGGGACATTTCATTCCACAGAGGCAGCGGCCACTAAACCATGGGGTTTAAAAGTAAGACA